CTTTCATATATAAAATATGTGATTTTCAGTGCTCCCTTATTTTAGGAAAACCATCCCACAGTTGACGGTGTAGTTACCACCTTAAAAATGCTACCTTTCCAGTATGAGTTTGATTGCTTTGAATGTTGTAGCTGAATACATGAAAATATGTTATAGTTTTGATTATTAGTTTATATCTGTTGTATTGCAGTATTGTAATTTCTGTTTAAATTTGCATTTAGTACAAAGATTGGGAACTCTTCAAATAGCATAGTTATACTGTAACCTGCTTCTGGATTCTTATCATACCCATGTTCTTTTTGTGAGCAGACAAATATAAATATTGCATTTATGGGAAGACTACATGTTACCGTGTAGCTAAGTATACTTAGAAAGGCCCATAGTGGCCTTTCTGTGTTGCAGCCACTCTCAAGGAAGCTTGCACTTGAGTAGGGAAGGGACAGTTTAATCTAGAGGTTCCCAAACGTAGCCTGGAGAATCTTCTCTTTGGCCTGAGTTTTCTAAAGGTGTACTTCTTTTTGTATGACTGGTCTAAGGACTGTAGAAATAAACTGACTGGCCTGAGTTATCTCAGCCAAGATATGGTTCTCCTAGCCTCCCAGCAAAAGCCATGGTTTTAAGCCAAGCCTGGCTTCATAGGGCACTGCTTGTGGAGGTTCAGAGGTCTCGGGAAAGACCACCCCGGGTTCATGGCTGAGGATGCTGGCAACAACACTCCCACACCCATGACCAGTACCCTCCCAAGCAACCAAAAGGAGGAGGAGATTGGATTTATACCCTGCCCTTCAGTACCCAAAGGAGTCTCAGGGCGGCTTACAAATTCCTTGGGCTTGCCCGAACTCATCCAGCAGGTGCAAGTAGAGGAGTGGGGAATCAAACTTGGTTCTCCCAGAATACAGTCCGCGCACTAACCACTACATCAAACTACACCAAAAAAGCAGAACTTTTAAAAACAAGACCTTCACAAATCACAATGGAAAGCCACAACAGAACAACACCAGAGCACTATTAGGGACAACAAACGCACAACACTGAACCCACAAACAGCAGCTGACCCCCCCAGCTAACCAAAACACACAAAGAAAACAGCAGTACAGTCTCAAGAAATATATTTAAAACTACCAGAAAGTTAAAATATTTAAACAACAACTAATAACAGAAGTTGAATCACAAAATTAAAAACATTGAGCAAAACCCCTCACCACACCAACAAGCAACTACTACAGTTAATTAAAAAACTATCCACCAGAAATACTTTTAAATGCAAACCAAACTTTTAAAACTGTCACCAAAAATTTTTAACTTTAAAAGACTACTAAACCATACCCCCACCCCACCCCCACAAGCAACTAAGGTTAATTTAAAAACAATCCTACAGTAATACTTTTAAATGCAAAACAAACTTTTAAAAAACTTTCCCCCAAGATTATTAACTGTAAGAGAGTAAGGCTTAGCCAACCTTCACCCCACACCCAACAGAACCATAATCCATAGCCACCCCAGGAAGGCCGCACAATTTAAAAGGTCCTTTTACTAATATCCTCCTTTTAAAAAATACGTATTTTCCCAAAATCTTACCTTTTAGATTTCTTTTTTCAGTCCAGGTAGAGTCCACCATGATCCACGCAGCCAGGCACAGAGCAGCAGCAGCTGAAGGCCTGAAGCCAGAGGCTAGCAGCAGCTACCACACAATAGTCCAGCATTAACACCACCCTTAATGCATATTCATTTGCAATCTGCAAATGCATGTCTGTGATTGACTGTGGGGACCCCTCTCCACCTCCCTCTCTGATCCCAGGGAAGACCAGGAGAAGGCAGGAAAAGGCTGCCTTAGATAGGTTCTGGAGTCTTCTTTCTTTATGCTTCCACCGCTCCCTTTTTTAAAAAATTCAGTGTTCCCCAATTGCACCCAAGGCTCCTACTGCCCACCTGGATCATTCCAGCGCCCCCCCCCCAGGGGTAGTATTGCCCACTTTGGGAACCAGTGGTTTACTCCTTCCTTTGCCTGTGACTTTTCCTTGGCAACTTGCTTCCACTGGTATTCTCTCACCTTGTTTGCTTCACATGTACAGGTCAGATGACTGACATGCAGAACATGAATGGAGATAGTAAAATGGGAAGCATTAGAGTAGAAGTATACCAGGTGCATCACAATACATGGGTATTTCCTGACAGTTAAGCATGACTATTCAATTATAGTGCTATTCATATTACTTCAGTCCTATAACCATGAATACTAAAAATACTAAAAATGAAGAAAAGAAGAAAATCTGTGGGATTTTTGATTATGGCTGTAGCTCAGAGAGCCTGCTATCATTTGTATACTAGATTCCTCCTTTATTTCAGAACAGCAGTCCCCATGCCATTTCTGAGATCTCTTGATGTTTAATAATGGCTTGCTAATTGGTGCACTGGCCCGTCTACAAAGCTTGCTGCATATAGTTTTCCGTACCTTTTTAGTCCGTGTCTTTTAAAATGAGAGCATCATATTAACAATACCACTATAATTGTTTGTCTGATTTTTTCAATTTAAGCATGTGTTCCATGGTCTTTTTATTTAAGTACCAGAACACAGAATTAAATTTTAGTAATGCTTAAGTAAAAATCCTGACATTCTTCTAGCTGCATTCTTCTTTCATTTTGCATTTTTTGTGTGGGGGGCACACTTTCCTGTTTTGCTACTAAGTTTGGGAATGAGGTGTATGTGATTTTCATGCTGTAGTCACTGTCCATAAAAATCACAATGGAAATTTTCAAACAAGCTGTTTTAAAATGATGAAAATGTCACGACAGCCTCACAGCTACAATTTGCATAATCAGCAAAGGTTAATAAACTTGCAGAGTGAATAGATTTCAGGCTTAATTACATATTTATATTAAAACTGTTGTGCAGAATTGCAGCATCCAAAAAAAAAGCTGTGAGATGCAGGAAGGTTGTTCCTGCTTACCAGATGCCTACTGAATTAATTGAATTTCCCTAAATAATTAAAATGCTAAAATAATGCAGTAAATGTGGTGAAGCATTGCAGGTTATCTAGGTCAAGTCAGTACTTGATACATAAAATTAAAGGAAGGCTAGGATTTTTTCCATTATCTTGTCTGCCCATCATAATTATCACATTGCCTTTTATGCATGAATGCTTTCATCTTCGGAATCCATTGAAAACTTGATTGACTATGGCACCTACAAATATTTTATCTGAAAGACATTAGACTTGCATCTAATAAAAGCAGCAGTTTGATTTTGCCCTTCAGGTGCTTTCTCATTTATGTAGTTCTTTCAATTTTATGTAGACACAAATATAATAAAAATCTCTAGTGAATTGTTATTGCAATTTTGAAACTAGTTATGGAGCTCTGTAATGCAACAAAATTCTTAAGGTATTGGACAACACAGACTATAGTTGCTCTTCTGTGTATTTTCTGAACAACTGAATGATTTTTCAAGATTCTTAACTATTTTAATACTATGATCAACTTTCAAAGCGATACCTTTTTGAGATGAGCGATTATGTTTAGCAAAGTTGCAAGCGAAGCGTATTTAATATTCTCTATTGTGTGTAGTCAGTGAATAATAATTTAGAAATATGACTTGACTGTAGATATGTCAGTTTGTTCCATAAAACATATTTTGTACTAGGGGATGTGCAAGAAAAAAGATCGTTTTTAAAAATTCAATATATTGGCTCCAAAAAATATCAGTATTTTCCAAAATCCCTGCATAATATTATAATATAATATTTGGGAAACATCATCGTCATCGTCATCGTCATCGTCATCGTCTATTTATTTGTTGTTGTTGTTGTGGTGGTGGTGGTTGTGGTTGTTGTGGTGGTGGTTGTGGTTGTTGTTGTGGTTGTTGTTGTGGTTGTGGTGGTGGTGGTTGTGGTTGTTGTTGTTGTTGTGGTTGTTGTTGTGGTTGTTGTTGTTGTTTCTTTGGGAAACCTGAATTTTTGGGGGTCTATTATATTAAAGTCAGTGGCAAATCTACTCTGGGTATATTCAGTGGTCTTGGGGGGCGGGTTGAGGTAGAGGCACCAAATTTGTAGTGTAGCTGCTGAAGCCTCTTCTCAAAAGAACCCCCGGGGGGGTATTTCTGCAAGGACAGCAGAACCAGTGCAATGTACTAGTGCCCAGCGGCAGAACCCAGTGCCAACCTACTACTGCCCAGCAGCAGAACCCAGTGCCACTGTGGCGAATGCCAGCTCAACAGGACTGATGTCAATCACAAAATCACAATCTGAGCGAGGGAGAGGGGCATTGAAAGGACAGCAGAACTCATGCAGTAGTGCCCAGCAGCACAACCCAGTGCCAACCTACTACTGCCCAGCAGCAGAACCCAGTGCCACTGTGGCAAATGCCAGCTCAACAGGACTGATGTCAAGCACAAAATCACAATCCGAGCGAGGGAGAGGGGTGTTGCAAGGACAGCTGAACTCGTGCAATAGTGCCCAGCAGCACAACCCAGTGCCAACCTACTACGGTACTGCCCAGCGGCACATCCCAGTGCCAACCATCACTGCCTTATTGGAGGAGCCTTAGCCTAGGTGCTGCAGCTGCCCTTCATCACAGGCACTCTTTTTCCCACCTCTGATCCCTTCAAAGAAGAATGTTTCACAGCAAATTAGCTTTATGGTACTCCTGTGGGTTCTGCTGGTTTCTGTTTGGCACACAGATCTCACTGTTCTACTCTACCCTTTCATCTCCTTCAAGATGAAGAATAGTTTTAGTGCTGCTGCTGCTTTAATTTTAGCATGCAGTTTTGGTTTGGGTGACTTGATGAGTGAACTTGAGCACACCACCTTCAACATCACCCTGTATTGCACTCCTACCAAGGTTCTGTAGAGGTATTTTGGTGCAGGTGGATTCAGATTGGCAGTAGGGAGATTGGTGGGGCATTTCTGTGCCAGTCCAAATGTTTAATGGCCCTGCTATTTCTTTCTAGACTCGTTTTATTTTTGGGAAGAGCAT